ATTAGTCTGTTTCTCTTTGCGTCGATCAAGTTCGCGATTCCGTCGCTGCGCCGTTCATACATACCTATGTGTGTCGTAATCCGAGTTATCGGGAGCTCGTCGTCTGCGATTCCCCGAGAAGTCATTTCTGATTCTACTCATCGCTCGAAGGCTCGTTGTCCCTCAACTGACCAGCCAGCCCGCTGTGTTCCTGGCGCCGGAATTCTTCATTCGGAAACTGAGAGCGACCTTACCCTAATTCTCTTGAGAAGGGTGACCGGATCCAGGCCACGAGCAAAAATCGACAGAGGATGACTCTAGCCCTCGGAGACCCGGACTACACTTTCGGAATCGCCTCGAATTATTCCTCGACTCGTGCTTTTGTCTCGTACCCTTCCCTCCGTCTCTCGGGAGCTTCGGTCTCCTTTCTCCATTCGGTCGGATCCTGTTGTCGGCGCATTTTTCAACTTTGACCGCCTCTTATTCCCCCTGGCGCTGTAAAACTTCAGGATGGATCACGACAGAATCAAAACTCGAGCAAGAATTCGGGCCCGCCGCAACTGTTTGTGATACAATCCCACGACGCGTTTGCCCTTGTGGCGCCACTTGACCCTCAGAACACCCGTCTTGGATCATTCTTTTTCATTTCATTTTCTTCAATCTCGAGCGCAAGTCGCCTAGTCCCGAGTTCGTGCATCTTGTCACAAAAAAACGAGTCTCGGAACCAGAAAGAGAGAAAGAAAGGAAGAACGAGACCGACGCACGATGGAGGCTGAAAAGCGAGAGGAATGAGAGCGCAATGGAGGCAATAGAAGGGTCGAGGGGGTAGAACGCGGTCGCTGTGGCTGCAGTCAGTCGCCGAAAAAGCCGTCCGCCTTGTCTTGATGGAACGAAGGCCGACGTCCGTCGAGAAGCATTTCTGTTGATGAAGTTTTGCATTATAAATGGTTATTTCGGTCCTCGCTCGAGGTTCGGGCCTCCGCTCCTCGCCTCCCGCGCCCCGCTCAGCCGTCCCGCAGTCTGTTGTAGTTGTTGAAGTCTCGTCCCGGCGTGTCCACCATACGAGCGAGTCCGTTTCGAGCCATTCCAGTCATATTCAGTGATGAAAGCGACTCCATGAGCTGCACCGATTCGAGTATAAACAAATCACGAGGAGAACACACTCTTAAGAAGCTCGCTTGTGCCTCGTCTTCAAGCTGGTGGCGCTTTTGCTATTCCGCCGCTTCTCCCAGTCGGTGTCGCCGCCGACGTCGACTTCGATCGATGTCCGCCAGAAGGCTCTCAGCTCATTACTAGTCGTTCGACGTTGATCGACGGGCCTCACGGCGACGTCAGCGACGTCAACCTGGAAAGTGTTATTATGTTATTACATGCAAAACAACGCGCGAACGCCGGTGATGCAATATTGCTATTATAGCTAAATGGCCCCGCTTGCGTACGAGCCAGGAAGAGGAATAACAAAGCACAGACACCTTCTTCTGCATAAACATGAATGATCGACTTCGACGAGACATGTGCAAGCTAATCGACTCCTGTCCTCGAGCCACTGGAGGATAACAAGGCTGTGGACCGAGTTGAGAACGAGAAGAATTCTCCATTCCTGTGCGAGAACTCTGCATTCAATTCACGGAGGATCCCTCGGGTGTTCGGCGGGAGCATGCGTCGAATTCCGGCTGATGTTCCTCATTTTCGCACCGTGCCGGCTGTCTCCTCGGGTTTTGCTCGAGATCATGCCCCCGTTACTCTGAGTGAGAGAGACCTCGGATCGGTTCCATATCTCAAGCTCCATCTTATCACCCAACACTCAGCGAGATCTTCGGTCATAATTCTCAATCCTGCAATACATCTCCACGTAGTCGCAACCGACGGGGCGCCGACTGGCTGATCTTGAATCCCCCACCGATATTCTGACTGGTGCCCACTAAACGCATGTCATGTGACGCGAATCGGAGGGATTTCTCATGTTTGCGATACACCTGACGGGGATCTTGATCGATTGATTGATCTATTGATCGCTCCGAGAACGACTCGGGTGAACGACCGAAAGATAATCGTCGGAAGCGTCAGTCATTGCGGTGCTCGATCTTTTCCTCCCCCGGATGAGATAAGGTGACGTCATCGAGAGCCCAGGCCCGAGTATCAGGCAGGCAACGGGAAGGACGGCCGCGGCTGGAGCCAGCCAACTTTATACACCAGTTTCTTCTCTAAGTTTCCCTCCATCCGTTGCCCCCAGGGCGATCTTCGACTTTGACTCCTTTTTTTTTTTCAAAACCCCCGTTTGCCCCGCGACCGTTCCACTCGCCGTCCAGAGTAGAGGGAACTATATCGGAAAGCAATCAGCAATCCGGGAATCAGCCGGCGGAGAAGATCTTCTCCGGAGCGGACGACTCTTTGCCCGTCTGCCGACACGCCGCCCGCCCCCGTCGCGGATGAAAAGGGGTTTTTCGGGCCTGGCATCGGTCCTTCAACTATCTGTACTTCGATGTACCCTCCGGAATCGGCTACTACCGCTGTCCTTTTATTCTCTTCGTTCACAAGTGCCGTTCGTCCTCTGCAAGCTCCGGCGAGAGTTTGTTCAAAAAGTCCCAGGTCAGCGTTCACTGTCTGATTCCCACCTCCCTCGTCGGGTGGGAGCTGTCGTCTGCCTCGCTGCGCGATAACTTTCCTTCGATTCGGCTATTGAACCCGGCGTCGAAACACAACGACGTTTTCAGCTGAGGGCGGAGGCGGGAAAACGGTTGAAAGGAATAGTTCCGATAGTCGCGGGGTTCGGGAGAGGAGCCTCGAGGCAGAAGTGGTGTAAACGTAATCGGGGAGTGCCACGCAAGGGAAGTGGACATGGGGAAAAGAGCGGACTCGGGCTGCGAGTAAGACCCATGATGTCTTCGGCGGCGGTGCATAACAAGCCATGAAACGCATTACCATATGCGGCGGAGGCGGTAGGGCAGCCATCGGCTCAGCATCGAATCAGCAGCTGTACTTGGTGAGCGAAGCACAACCAAAGCGAGCACAAGAATGTATTGTACATACATACATGAGCGTTGAGAATGCCCGCGGAATCGCCGCGCGGGCCATCCCGCGGAGGAACTTGGGCCAACGGCGGAATGTAATGACCACTGCGTATTTCGAGGGGGAGGGGGAACGGCATCCATCGTTCTTCTATCGCTTAATCAAGCCATTATCTCTATCAGTTAGTGTTGAATCATCTATCGATTCCTGTATCTCGTCCCCGATCCATTCAGAGCTTCCGCGCGAGCACAAAAAGACGAGAGGCCAAGTACACGCGGGGCTGAGAGGCGGACGCCACCTGCGATTGATGTCTGTCCAGGACGACCCCACCCCTAAAGTGACTTTTGAACGCTCTTGTCACAGCAAACTGCCGTTGTTTCGCTTATGCAAGTGGGCAGACAGCTCGACGACTGTGGCCAAAGTCCAACTTCGCATCGCAGAGAGCGTCGTCTCAGATTGCTCGACTGACGTTCCCGGCCCGCTCAAGCGACAGATCCCGCAATCTCTTTGACCCTCGAACGGCGACGCAGGTGCCAAAAGCTGCAGGAAAGCGAGAGGAACTCGTTCATCCCTTGTTCTCGACACGATCACACGAGACTCGCCTCTCAGATTTGTGAACCAGAATGATCGAGACCGAAGCGATGATGGAAATGAATGGAGAGATTTTCCGAAAAACATTCCGGTCCGGTTCCGAGTCCTCCTCGGGACGGCCACGACGGCGGGCCGACACGACGTCGGGCCCGCCCGTATTCACTACATGAGGGTTGGAATCTGAGGAGCTCTGCCGGCTCTACGCAGACGTTCTGAACGATTACAACAGCGCTCGAGCTCCGTCCCATTCGACAAACAACCGTGAGCCGTTCCGCAAATCTATGGAAAATGCAAATTGGGAGCGAGGAGCGGGGAAAAGTTCCCCAACCCCTTCCCCCGGTCGATGTTTTCCCCCATGTCAGTTCTATTTCTCGATCAGTCCCCCTCCCCCGCCTCCCCATCGCCCTTGCGGGGGCGGGGCTGGAAGAGCGCAGTATAACAGCCAAACGGGGCAGAGGGGGTGATGTACGTAGAGGAAAACTGCGAGAGGGAACTGCAGGAGAAGAGGGGCTTGGGAAGGGAGTGCGGTGGGGGAGGAAGTACTGAGTGAAAGAGGTTCCACGACGACGGGCTTTCTGTGCGATAAAGCTCCTCGCCTCAGCGGCCGGCTTCTTATCGGGCCGACACACACTTCATTATTCTCTCGGTAAATACCTCCGTTTGACATTTTCTATTTAGTTTGCTGCAGTCGCCGGCCGCCCTCACCGCCAGCCCCTCTTCCCGTTTCCCCATCTTCTCCATCCCTCAGTTTTCTTTTCCCTGTTTGCTCGCCGTCGCCGCAGCGCTCGACGTCCGCTAAGCCTTGGCGTTGGGCTTGCCGGAACAGATGGGGAACGGAAAAAACGGGAAACCTTGCCCAGCGCTGCCCATCATCGGCCTGGAGGCGCTTCTCCTCTCTCAGCCCCTCCGCCCGTCGAGACCAATGCCCCTTCTTCAAAGTCGGCCACACTGTTTCGGCCAACTGTGATCAGCCCAAAGAATGTGCGCTCCTTCTCCCCCTCCCCTTGATTCAGGTCGGAGGGGTCGACGGTGAACGGCGAGGGAACCGACAGAACAAAGAAAAATCAAAACAGCTCCAAGCAAACAAACAGACGAAGGACGTTGGAAACATTAGAGCTTGGGCGTTGGGTCCGTCTGTCGAAGGCTTTGCGGATCTGTAAATACAACAGTGCCGGTCGTGCCGATGTTACCAACGACTTCGGTCCAAGAGATTCGCAAAATCGAAAACTCCAGACTCCAGAGGATTCGCAATCTCGTACAGAACAAATGACGGAAGGACGATTCCTTTGTTCACCATTTCTGCCGGCGGAGCTCTCGACCCCAGAGCGTCTCAGCTCGACAGATTAGAGAGAGGTCCATCGAGGAAAATATGACTTCTGTCAGAAAAATTAAATTAAACTTTCTTCCTCAATTCTTTGCAGGCGATGTCACGGCGAAATACCAGCCGCCGCAGTTCAACGAAGAGCCGCCTTCGCGGGTGAGGTTTCTGAACAGCAGCGGCGTTGTCATACCGTGTGTCATTCAGGGTCAACCACCACCTAAAATAACTTGGATACACCGCGATGGCAGCGAAGCGCTCACCGTGCCGAGTAAGCAGAGCCCGATCGCCTCTCGACGCTCGAATTGTTTTTTTTTCATCAAAAGATTCTGAGAATAATCGATTCATTGAACGCTTTGTATCATATTTACGTGCGTAAATGCGGGCCTCAATCCAGTGGCTCATCGACGTTCCCTCGTTTCCTCTCTCATCGCTGAGCCCATCGCGCGAATCTGCTTCTGCCGTTTTGTTTGTCGCATTCTCTCGGTCCGTTTTCCGCGCTCCGATGTTTGAAGAGGTTTATGGCTCTGCCGGAGAGAAACTAACGGAGAAGACGGAGGAGCATTTATGCCCGTATTTTATGGTTCGCTAGCACTATCCAGCTCCTATCGTCCACTGTCTGGCTATTCGCTTCCTCTGTGGCCGCGGAGGCCGGCTCCTCTCGAGAGCTGCAACATCCAAGCAGTGACTTCAGGAGCAGGTGGAGCCGACCGAGAAGCAGCCGAAAGGAGCTTAATGTCACCCACTCCTTTAGTCTGGCTTCCTATCCGCGGCCACCGCCGCCGTCCCTGCTCCCGCTACTAGCACTAAGAGTCTATTTATTTTCCATTAGACCTGAGGCATGTGCGTTCGGATGGCGCTCTGGTACTGGAACCGTTCGCCGCACAGGACTTCAGGAGCGACGTTCACGACACAGCCTACCGTTGCTCGGGTCAGAATCAAGCCGGCGCCGTGTTCAGCCGAGACGTCAAAGTCACCGCAGGTGAGTAAATTTTGTGACCCTGTCTCGTCCTTTTAGACTCTCGTGGACGGTTCGAAGTCCCACAGAGATATCCCCTGGAGGAATCTTTCTTGGATCCCTCGGCTGCTCTCTTTTCCTGAAAACCTCTCTTGTTTGATCAGGAGTCGTTCCAGATCAAGTAAACGCAAGATCATACTCCGGGAAAAGACCTCCGATCCGTAGCCTCGGAGCGCGCTGTACTCGATCCCCAGTGTTTCAGTTCTCGCCGTTTTCCTAGAATCCTGTCACGTTCTACGTGATCGCTGTCTACAGTTTTGGTCGGCTACGTGCTCGTCCACATATGTACGGAAGCTGCGCGAAAGCCACCGAGAGCAAACATATTCCGCTTCGTAGCGTTTCAATATCTTCGGTCCCGTCGTCGTCATCGTCGATGTCTTAACGGTGATGATACCGCGTTTCTCTGCGCGTAGGGAGATTTTTCGGGAGTTTTGGAATATATTCCCCCGTGCATGAAGCATTCACCGAAAGTTAGAGCAACGTATTCGACTCACCCTTACCGGATCCGGAACGAGGAAAACTCCCACGGGAATTTCTCAGATGTCGGAAAATTGGGGACGGAATTTTGCGAACGCGATTGAAACCACGAGTGTCGCCATACACATTAACGCTTATCCAGCCTCGGATTTCGGTGCGGCGATCGATGATCCTTTGTGGTGGAGAGAAGAATTCACCCAGGTATCTCGATTTCATCCTGTCTTCATCCTCCGTAGAGGCTGATTACTTTTGGTGGTCCCTAGTTTCGTGGACCGTCTGTGCACGCGCATATACGCCGACCGACGAGAAGTGCGCGCAAAGAAGAGAGCGCGACTATATAATTTCCATTTATATAAGAAACTTGCTACACTGTGTGACCCTTATTAGCTCGGCACTCTTATAACTCCACTCAATCCCCTCAGTGTAGCGTTTTCTTACTGGTTAAGTCACTTTGTGAGTCATCCCCTATATAATTAAGATGGAATAAATATGTACATAGTGCATGAGAGGGACTCGACAGAAGCGGCTGCCGGCTTCGTCCGTAACATTCGTTCTGGGTCTCTGGAGGAAATCTGATTCCTGTCCAGGATTCCGTACGGGGAGAGCCTCGAACTCATTCGTCTCCTTTGAGTGCTCGCAGCCGGGAGCTCTTCGGGCTCCGAATTAAATCCCCCGCACTCCGAGTCCCGGGCATATTTTTCCCCCTGTTGCATGTAGCAACGTCGCGAATCCAACTCACACCACCTGTTGACTATCAGTGGAAAACTAGTCGAGTGGACGACTCACGGATTGTGGGGCCCTCCGGATATGTCCACCGGTCCCGGAAACCGTTCCTCAGGTCCATTTTCATATATTCACGAAATTGATAACGCATACGAAACTTTCGGCACGTACGGTGAAGTAAGCGATAGCTCCGCGAGAAGGACAGGTCGCGCGAATTGCTCCCACCTTTGACCCTCTCCTTCAACTTGTGAGATGCTCTCTGTCCGGAAAGAGAATCTGGGAGCTCTCATTGGTCGGGAAATGTCACGATTCAAGCTGTCTGATGGAGACGGGGGCATGGGAGGGGAGAGGGGGGTTGATCAACAAAAGTGTTCAACAGTCGCCTCACGAGAAGCATCACACGCTTGTCATTTGAGTGTTGGCTTCGCCTCCAGAAATGAATGGCTCCGCCGCACGCCATACGAGGCGGTTCGGGACACACAATCTCCACGCCAACAAAAGCAACGAACGAGCCAAAATAAGAAAACACCTTCTTGCTGCTGCTGCCGCCGCCGTCGAATGATTTTCGTTCCTATTTTGAAATACACATTACCCGGGAATAAATGGTTGTCGCCTACGGCAGCAGCGCACCTGCACGCGCCATATTCGAAAAGGATGACAAATTTCCAGCATATATACCCGCGACCGCGTTACCGGTATTCCCCCCGAGGTACCTACGAGTCCACGAGAAAAATATCGTTCAAGGACAACTCGACCGCTTTCACTCGACTTTCCTCGGCTATTCCGCTTTCTGGCTGGAACGTTCAATTTCCGATTACCGTCCCAGATTTGATATTCCCGGAACTCCGCCTGGAAATTCGTCGTAGGAGAAGCGCACGATCACAAGAGGACCCCTGAGGCTCATTTGAGTAGAGGTTCGCCTCCTCTGAGGGAACTGTCGTCGCGCACGTCCGCTTCGGTTCAAGCAACGCTCCTCTCTGCAACACTGGTGTGTTCCTTGCGGGAAAATCGAAGCCTTCCCGAGACAGATTCAGGGCGACCAACGCCACGGCTGAGAGCCGAACCGCAACCCTCGGCTGTTCGACAGGATATGACTGAGCGAGGGGGGCTGGAGGGAGGAGCCGACGTCTGAAATCTACGGAGATGGTCGCCTCTTCGATTTTCTCCACAAGGAATACGCGAAGACCGAGGAGAAAGAGGAAAGAAAACCCATATGGAGGTCATTCAGACGGAGTAGGCGGAAAACCAACGGTGCCTTTGAGCTCGTTCCGGCCTCGCTCTGTACTCAAAGTGTGTAACGGGTTTGCTTCAGTGCGTTTCGAACATGGGCGACGTATCTGCAGGAGCGGAGGAACGGAATGATGTCGACGACGGCAAGCCTCTCCCGAGAACGGGACTGAGAGAGAACGCAAGGCCTCCCACTGTGCATCTCGGAATATTTTCTCCCTGCACGCGTTCTCCCCAAGACAGGAATGAAAAGGAATAGTTGGACCTCCAACCCTCGAAAAGCAGAAGAGGAGATCTCTGGACATGGCTACCTGCAGATCAGTTCCCTCCGAGACGAGCTTGTCACGTTGTCGCTTCAACATTTGTTGAGTCGCGGAAAGCTCAACTTACCCTGCTCTCGTTCACGAAGCGGATTGTTCACAGCTTTTTGTCGAAGTTTCCGCGGCTCGTCCCTCCTTCAATTCGGCCACCGGTCGGACGGTGCTCCTAAGTCGACTTTAAGTCGAGCGAGCGGGCAGGCAAGAGTGGAACTTTCAACCCGAAGGAACGAGGGAGCCAGCGACCGGCAGGCAGGCAGGCAGCGAGTTGATAAATGAGCCCAATGTAAATGTTCTTCTACTTTCTCGTCGTTTCGTATTTGAGAGAGGTGTTAGCAGTTGTTCTGCGCTTTCGTTGAGCTGATATATCATCTCGTGTAGTCTCGAGAGCTCCCACAGGCAGCTTCAAGTAGATAGAGCTGCAGGTGGTACCTCTGAAACGATCGCATTGGAGAGGGATGCCGCCTGGCTTCCGCTCTGGCAGGAGAGACATCTGGAAATGTCGAAAAAAACGCTCTTGAGTGAAAACGTATGCATTCGCAATCCCAGCGTTGCTCAGAGATATCCCGAAACGAGGTGCGCTCACCCATCGGGCTCCACGACGAGCTCGATCATGTCTCGGAATTTTCCGAGGAGGGGCGATCTCTCTGGATATTGCTTGACGACGATGCTCACGACTGCAGCGATGCAAATCTTCTGCTTTCGGAAACCGAAGTTGAAAACGAGCTAGTCGGAGCACGCGTACGGCCAAATAAACAAGAAGAATGATGGATGGATGGGGAACCACAGACTTGAAGACTTCTCATCTGGAACCAGAAGCTCCGTCATACCAACGGGATGGGAACCGCAGGTGGAGCTCGACGCAGAGGAACAGAATATACGAGTGAATGAGTAGTGTAGATAGCTTATATAGGGAGGAGGTGGAGTCAGAGGAGGACGAAGAAATAAGAGCTGGTGCTTCTCTACTCGTAGACGACGTCATTCCAACTTACGAATAGATGAACGGTGTCCCGATATGCTCTGCTGGCCTCAGATGGAGTTTCCGCCGGAGAAGATCAGCCAACCATCCTGTTTCTCTCGGCTTGCCTGCCTGCCAGCCTGCGTCCTGGTTGAACTCCCGGCCGGCGTTTTGACTGGCTCCTGCACGGCAGACGTCTCTTGAGAGTGAGCGTTTGTCATCCCTGAATGACAACTATGAACCACCGACACCACAAGGAAAACTCTTTTTATTCTTCGCTCCATTCCTCGTTCCGCTCTCCGTTCTCCCGAAGCTTCACTGGGTCTTCCGTGTCTCCTTACCGAAATGCGTCGCATCACCACGACTCGTTTCTGCATCGCAGCGAAACCGAAACAGAGAGCGGACATTAGCTACCGTTCGCCCACAAGAAGGACATTCGCTGCTTCCAATCCAGGCGTACGAAGATGGGTATTTTTATCCAAACTATTGGGCGTGAACGAGGGAATTACGGAGGGCCCATGTACTCATGGTTCGTGAATGATCGGATTCCGAATTTCCATCGAAAAGACCTCATCGTGAGCCGAGAGTTTCACGACTTTTCGTCTTCCACCCACGGAAGTGGAGGAGTTGAATTGAGTTTCACAGATTCATAAGCGCTTTGCTGTGCTGCTGAATCATTGAGATTTAATGTGAAATGGCCAGAATTCGGTGAAATCGTGGCATCGCGCGGTCGATGAAAGGGAAGCTCGCGACTTTGCCAGTCTCAAGATTCTATGAATACAATCCACTCGGGATCCGTTCGGTGCTGAATAATGCAGTCCGGGCCTTGTCTCACAATCATAACGGCGTCCAACGTCGCGCCCGCCGGACGCCGGTACTGATGCTTTGGTCAGCGAGTCGGGAATTCGGTCAGAAAGGGAAACCGTCGCGAACGCGGGGTAGCCGAGCGCTAAGCGAAACGGGAGTTGTCGACGAATCCGAGAACCTTGCTCGCGAGACATTGTTTCGATTATTATTTGGGCGAATTGAGAAGGTCAGAATGGCTTCGATGGGATCAAGCATCAAAGTGCTAGGCTTAGCTCCTTCATGTGATCACGCAATTAGTAAACTATAATTTCTTCATCCATAGATAATTCTTTATCTTTCATCTTGTCTGTGGCCAGACCATCTGATGTGAGTGGTTTCTCCAGAACAACGCCTCATCGCGTCTCGGAAACAGCGGCATACAACGAGCCTCGGTTTCCAAAAAAAGGGGAAAACCA